TTTAGATTATTCCTTTTAGCAATCAAAAAAATCAAAAGAGCTATTTGTTGGGAAATTGCAATGCAGCATGATAAATCTGGTCATGAACTAAAAACAAAATTGATAGTTGATAGTTCTAAGAATGGTGGTATTATATTGTCTTCTGAGAAGCAACAAGAAAGGGTGGACTCTTTTGAGGGACCAAATGAACTTTGGGAACTGAATATAAGGAACATGAAAGAGTATAGTGGTTTATGAAGCCATAATATAAGAGAGATGGATAAGGTCTGGAAGATCAGAAAAAGGATCTTTATGCTAAGCTTTATCTGAATGATTTTAGTAACAGAATGCAGTATTTACATGGAAACCTCCCACCTCTTTCTTTTCTCTGCAATTTTTTTGTAATGGCTGGAAAGCTTCTTGAAGATTAATGTACCATGTTTCAGGGAGTGGTAGCTGGGGTATGAATTTGCAGCCATCAGCTCTCTCCTTCAGAGCGAAAAGCCTTATGTGCTGGGTACAACAGGCAGTCATTGTGGATAGTGAAGCCAAAACCCCAGTTAAAGTTTTATCATATCCTTGAGAATAGAATGAAAGCATAACATTCACTATAATTAGTTCTTATGTCTTTCTCTTACTGCCAGGAACTATAGAAAAAGAAAAGAAGGAATGTAGGAGCAACACAGTGCATTCTCTTTTTTCCCAAATCTGGTGACTTATTGGAATGCAATTCTCATCATACGTCAATAATGTTATCCATGATGGTTGTGGATTGACATGTCAGTGTAACATATATACAGGATGCCAGATGGGGAAAACTATGCTAGCTGCTATTGATTCTTTGGGAAAAATTGATGTTTTTCTAGTATTGTGATTTCTAAGTGAGAAAACATATTGTTCAGCTTGCTCTGGGGACAAGAAGGGTATCCATGATGGCCTGAACACAGTTTTGTGTCATATTGGTTATAACGGTGTTAGGATTTTCTCATGGGAAAGGATGCAGCTCGTTATCTTCACTGAAAAAGTTGTGACTAGAGAGAGACCGTATGACTTGTGTGTTAGCACGTACAGTGGTACCTCGGGATATGAACGCCTCTGCTTGCGAATTTTTCGGGTTACGACCAGCTCTGGCCCCCAAAATTTACCTCGGTTTTCGAACTCCGCCTCGGG